CCACTTGTAAGTACCCACCCCAGAGAAAGGAAAACAAAAAAACCTATCCACACAGAGTTATGCCAACTTTTAAAAAAATAACTTATGTGTCTGGGTGTTTTGCCTGTATGTATATCTGTGCAACATGTGCATACAGTGCCTGCAGAATCCAGAGGAAGGCATCAGATCCTCCGAAACTAGAATCACAGACAGTTGTGAGCTGCCATGTGGGTGTTGGAAATTGAACCTGGGTCCTCTGGAAGAACAACCAGTGCTCTTAACCACTGAACCATCTCTCTAGCCCATTATGACATTATAATCACAAGAAGTCTGAAAAAAAATGTCCTTCAGCTGGTGAATGGCTGAACAAATTGTGGTACATTCCTACAAGAGAATACCATGTTCAGCAATAAACTGGAAGGAACAGGACATGCTCAGCATGGATGGATTTCAGATCTATCAGGCTAAATAAAGAAAAGCAGAGGCAATGCTTGCTAGAGCACACAGACACTAATACTGGCAAGATAAAGATTGGCCTGGCACTTACACAAAGATGGTGTGCAAATGCATGGAGTAGTCCACACCTTTACACAGACTTCAAGACATGGCCTGTATAAGAAGAAAAAGATCCCTGGGCAGTGGTGGAGCACACCTCTGATCCCAGCACTCCGGAGGCAGAGGCCAGCCTGCTCCTCAAAGAGAGTTCCAGGACAGCCAGAGCTGTTACACAGAGAAACCCTGTCTCAAAACACAAAATAAGAAAACAGAAGGAGGAGGAGGAGGAGAAGGAAGACACTGACCACCACCCCAATAAAACAGTCAAAGGAGGCAAGAACAGAATGGAGGTAGTTAGTGAACTGAAAACCAAGGCTGGCATTGACAAAAGGTCTGAGGGGGATCTCCAGTTCAGACTTAGCTAGGTTTTCTAACAACACTCAACATCTTAAACTACCCCTCCCAAAGACCGAAGACTCCTCATGGCTTTGTGCTACACCATGGGTACAGTGGTTACATGGATCTTTCACAAGAGGATTTAATAAACTGTAAAAACTTCAAATGAATGGCAAAAAAAAGCTAGAGACTGTTATGATTAAAATGAAATGATATCTTAAAAAGAGAAATTATAGGTAGGGAAATCATTAGTTGCCATGGGTTAAGTTTGGGAGAAGGCTGACTTGTAAAAAGGACAGCACATGAAACTGTTCTGACTCTTGGCTATGCCAACATATAAAATTTTAATCTTTTTTTTTAAAGAAAGGAAACTAATACATAATTTCTCATCTAAATGGACAGAAAATTTAAAATCTGACAATGCTAATGGTGGGTAAAGATGAGAAATCACTTCCACTCAGAGACTAAATTGCAGGAATAAAAGTCATTTGCCCTTAAAGTATAATTTGGCTGCAACCAGTCAAAGTTAAAAATGTACATCAACCCATTATCAACAGTTCCCTTTACAGGTGGTATACATTTTGGATAACCACACATTTTTTTCAGAGACACAGAATATTCATTAAGCATTGTTTGAAATATTGAAAAAAAACCTTTAGATTAGGATGTGTTTTAAAAGAGGAAAAAAACAGGCAGAAGTGTGTGTGGGGGGGAACACAATAGCCCTGCTAGCTATTTCTATGATGTGGAGAAAGTAACTCACTAATTTATTTAACAATTAGATAGGTGAGGAGCTGGGTGTGGTGGCACATGCCTGTAATGCCAGCACTTGGGAGTCAAGGCAAGAAGAGAATCAGCTTGGGGCCAGTCTGCGTTATACCAGTAGGGCAGCTTGGGCTACATACAAAGCAAGATCCTGGGGAGGGAAAGGAGCCAGAATGTACAGTAAGGACAGCCTAAAAGATTGATACCAACTGAGAGTGTAACATTTAGTTCAAACTCATTGCCACTCCTTAGCACATTTCTACAAACTTCATTTTCTCGTCCCTGGAAAATGAAAAGTTTGGACTATATACAAAACAGGATTACTTCCAACCTAATGATCCTGTAATTTAGTAAGTGTATAATAAAAAAGTTACATTCTAAAACATGTATATCAAGGTACTACTTTTTCTAAACACTCTGAAATTAGGAAAACAACACAGAAATAAGACACATTAATGTACTGATACATATGTCAGACCAAATTTTTTGGTATCTCTGTGATGAGATTTTTTTTTCCAAAACATTTCCAACATATTGTTGATTGTAGCATACATGAAAATAACACATGAATTTTACCTGTGGAAAAATTACAGATGATAATCTCACAAATTCAACATAAAAGAATAGGCTAAATACTATCATCTTGAATTTTTTTTATAAGTCTGAATGTTGTGACAGTTAAGTATGTGTTAACTTGGGACAAATTTGAGTGTAGATGTTCATGTGAAGGTATTCTGTAGTTGTGACTAACATATATGATCAACTGACTTTAAGGAGATTATTCTCAATTATGTATTTTTTTTTGTAATTTATATGTTTCTACTCTGTGTGCATTAGTGTTTTGCCATTGTTTTTGGGGCCTCTGTAACTGGAGTTATAGACAGTTGTGAGCTGTCCTGTGGGTGCCGGGAATGGAACCCATGTCCTCTGGAAGAGCAGCCAGTGCTCTTAACTGCTGAGCCATCTCTTCAACCACAAGTCTGAGATTTTTAATCAGACCACAATACAGGGGGTTAGAGGGAGGGCTCAGCAGCTAAGAATCCATACTGCTCTGCAGAGGACCCAAGTTATGTTCCCAGCACCAACAATGGGAGGTTCCCAAGAGCCTGTAACTCCAGATCTAGGAGGAGCCAGTGCCTTTGGTGTCCACTGATACACGCACTCACATGTAAACACTACTCCCCAACACATATATAATTTGAAATAAAAAATTTTTTAAAAAATCACAATTCAGAAGAAGATATGGATAGATAAACCACTGTTATACTTTGGATAGCCCTCGGGTGGAATTATATTAAGCCTTCATCTATTTTAACATTCTAAAACAAATTTAGCACTATGAGTCTACCTTTACTTGCCAAATTCAAGGTGATGACTTTTAGTCATTCGTGGCAAAATCAATTTTAAAGATTATGCATCTCCTCATATTTTTGTCTGTTTTACCTACAAAGCTCTTTAAATTTTAATGGTAGCCTGTTATAACAGTTTAGAATAACTTTTAAAACAAGCAATCGTGTCCAAAGGAATCCCATAAAAAACAGTTCATATTCAAGAAAAGAGTATTTAGTAATTTTCATTACCACCAATACTTATACTTCAAAGACACTAACACATCACATAATTTGTCCATGTTGCAAAATTTAACAAGTTATTAATTTCTGGCATAATTTAAAAGGATAATTAGAATACTATCATTAAAGCATGATAGTGCCCTATTAAAACTAGAAGTATCTTTCACCTTGTCCGCTAAATCAAAACTTTAGGATTCTTGGTACAACTGGCTTTCCAAATCTAAATTCTTAAAACTCTAAAGACACAACTCACTACTTGTAAAAAAAAACAAAACAAAACAAACAAGCAAAAAAAAAAAAAAAAAAAAAAAAAAAAAAAAAAAAAACTCCTAGCTACTGCATCCACTTTTAAAGTGTCTTGGAAAACTTTTCGACCGAAACCTAAATTCCACACACATTACTGTGTGTCAGTCAGCTGGACAGAAGGTGAGAGCTACCCTTAGTAAGTTACATAATTTTGCCATAAAGATCGTTCTAAGCGGCTTTCCTTGAAAAGTGACTGACAACCACGTTACAGGCTTCAAAGTTCAACTCGCACCCTCCCTGCAAGTTCTAAGACAGCACGGCGGCGGACACCGGGTTTTCTCCAGCAGCGGTCACAAGGAAGCAGGAACTGTTTATCTCAAGAACGCGACGAGCAGCCCAACACCAGGAGCTGACTCAGGCACAGGGACGCTGGCTGCATTCCGTCTTCCCTGGGAAAGTGTTTCCCCGGCTGGTTCCCCGACCCGGCCCGGGGGTGGGGGGGGGGGAGTCCCGTTCCCCCCCCACCCCGCTTTACCCCCGGGGGACACGCCAACCCCGGGCCTGGCTGCAGCGAAGCGACTCCCTGCCGCGCCCCCCGCAACTCCGCCGGGGTGGCCGGCCCGCGACCGCGCCGAGCTGCGTCCCCGGCCCAGGGAGGGAAGCGACGACCGACCCCGCGCAGGCAGCGTTCCTCCCGGGGACACAAAAGGTTGGGGCTGGCACCACCGAGCCGGGGGGGGGGGCTCAGCCCGCTCGCCGTGCGGCGGGTCGGGGGGGAAGGGGAGGTGACGAGCCCCGCCGCCCCTCCCCCGCCGCGCTCCCGGGGACCTGTTGATTAAGATCGCCCACAGCCCCGCCGCCGCGGGTCCGCCCCTTACCTCCGCGCCCCGGCAGCAGCAGCAGCAGCAGCGGCGGCGGCGGCGGCGGCCGATCCGCTCGCCCTCGTCGCTCCTCCACGCGGCCCCAGCGACAACCCGTCCGGCGGGCCGCCCTCCTCCGAACACCGGAGAAAGACTCCAGAAACTCCGGATCCCACCCACCCGCGCACCCCCCGCCAACCTCGGAGCCCTCAGTCCCCGCCCCCTCCCCACCTCCAGCCTCCTCCGTCGCCGCCGTCGCCAGCCAGCTCCTCCGCGAGACCGCGCGAGACCGCGCACGCGCCCGCCCCCCTTCCCCCGCCCCCCCCCCCCCCGGGGAACCCTTGGCGCAGCCCCGCGCGCCTATCCCAGGCCGTTCCCGGCGCAGCCCCGCCCACGGCTGGAAACGGATCGCCCAATCCTGAGCCCCCGCGGAGACAGAGCCCGCTCATTGGTCCGCTCCGGCCTCCCGCCCCCGCCCCCGCCCCACCTCGGGCGCCCGGCCGCGCGCGCGCGCGCCTCGAACTGCGGAGCGCTCGCCCTAACGGCGGAGTTTCCTCCGCGGCCGGCCGCCTCAGCCCACCTCCTCCTCCTCGCCGGTGTGCGGGCGCCCTGCTGCCCCGAGACAGACCCGGGAGCGGCTAAGGCTCGACGCCCCCCACCCCCCGCCTCTCCCCAGCCCCACCCGCCCTTCTGCGCCCCGGGAGCAGACCTCTCCTGAAGAAAACCAGATTCCCTCTGAAGAGGAGATTCCTCTTGTCCTGTCAGGCACGTCAAAAATGCTCACACTCACTTCAGAAACAACCCGTGACGCCAACACCTGGTTGTTGTGTGAGTCCCACAGAACTGCCTGATTCTGTAGACGACTTGTTTCTGAAAACCAGGAAGGAGGGGTGCCCAGGGCCACAGCTGTTGTCACAGAATTCTCCGGGAGAGGATTGCGAGTTACATAGGTTAGTCTGTACCCAGCGCGAGACTGTGCTGTCAGGACGTGCCCATGCCACTATCTGGAAAGTGCTAGGACAGCGAGGCCGTGAGGAACTGGCTTCGGAGCACACAGAAATGTGTTCTATGCAGAAACCTCTTCTGTTGGGCCAAAATCCATTGCTTCAGCCTCTTGAGTTTTCTTCAGGGGCATAAGGTGTAGACAGCTCTCCCTCGATGCCTTCTTATATGCGAGTTTATTTCCTCCCACCGTGGTTTTTGAGCATCGTTCCCAATATCCTCAGGCCTCCCAATACCCTCCCATCTTTTCACATTCTTACCCTTTTCACCTTGTAGGTTGTGAGTGTCCTCAGGGAACACGAAGTCCTTTGAATTAAGCACACCATCAGTCCAGGTGCTCAACATCTTTTTGGAGCCCTTCCTGGATTATCAACCTCAAATCTTATTTGCATTCTGTTTAAGTATTTAAAGTTGCTTATTAGTGTTTTGTAAGACAGAGCCAAGGACAGAATGCTGTTACCACTAAAGACCTCGTTCCTTCTATCAAACATTCCTCGGTGGACTTTTGAGTACAGTACCGACAACTTCCACATTTATGTAACTGAACCGTCTTCTTAATTCATATTCTTCAAAAAAAAAAAAAGTGAGAATTTGTGGACTACAAGTAAACTGTCTCCAGAATTCCTAGAAACTGTTGGCCATGCACGAAAGGTTAGTGTGTGCTGACATTCTTTCTACATTTTTAAGTACATAAAACACAAAGTAACAAGCTTCTAGTTTCTAAAAACCTATTTTTTTTCCTCTTGGAAATGTTGACAATTTGGCTAGCTTACTCTTGTGGAGGCCACTCTGTGCATTGTAACGTGTTTGATAAAATATTTTCTGTCCATTAGAGATGTCTAGGCACATCCCCCTTTCCAACTGTGATAAAGACATTTACAGACATTGCCAAAGGGTAGGAGGCGAACTTCCTGTTATGGACCACTGATCTAGCTTTTCATACAAAAGGCCTCTACAGTGTTTTTTTTTTTTTTTTACAAAGATGGATATATTTTTATTTTGTGTATATGAGTGTTTACCTGCATTTATGTGTATGCACCACCTGCTTGCCTGGTGCTTGGTAAGGTCAGAAGAGATCTTTGGATTCCCTGACATTCAGGTTACCACTTACCTTTCCAGCCCCCTAGATAGTATCCTTTTTCATGCCTTCCAATAGCCTGGTCCAGGCAGTTTTCCAAAACATCTCCTCCCAAATGAACCCCCCTGCTAGGTACCTTGTCTTGCTTCCCTAGCTGCTCAGTTTCCCCTGGTGTAGGCTCCACTCTGATAAAATGATGGTCACTATTAGTGTGAAAGAGTAGAACAGCCGCTACTCTCAAAATATGGGAGGTTGCTTTATAAAGTACAAGAAAATTGTATTATTTTACCTCGTAAAGGAAGTTTCATTTTTAAAAAGAGAGGACTATGGAAACTATGAAATCTATTCGCTGGTGAATAAAACCTTTTTCAGAGCCCCCACATCACACTAATGACTGGCCTTGTGTGGAAAAAAAAAGGGAGGGGTAGCTGGAAGAGTGTGAAGTATAAAAATCGCAGGCAAAGTGATTGGAGTTCTATGATGTGATGTGGGGACAAACCTTGCTGGGCTTAAATTCCCTCATTTGTTTTTTTTTATTTTTTTTAAATCTTTTTTTTATATAAGATTTATTTATTATATATACAGCATGTATGACTACAGGCCAGAAGAGGGCACCAGATCTAATTAGAGATGGCTGTGAGCCACCATGTGGTTGCTGGGAATTGAACTCAGGACCTCTGGAAGAACAGCCAGTGCTCTTAACCTCTGAGCCATCTCTCCAGCCCAAATTCCCTCATTTGTAATATGATAGTTTTGTTTCCGATTTTATGACTGGTAGCTTCTGCAAGTGGAGTTTAATGGGTAGTGTGGGAGTTAAGACAATGTAACATTCATCCCCAAATGGGATAAACTAGGTCATCAGTCATTTATTTAAACTCCTGTTTGAAGAATTGTCCATCCTTGTCAGAATGCAGTGCAGCTGCTGAGTCGCCCTGGCAAATCTGTAACTAGACATTCTGGACGAATAGAGAAAGCCAAACTAAAATCTAGTGTAAGACAGAGAACAACCATAGTAAATATCCTTCCTCCTTCTTCAACTTGATGTATGCTTATGTTATCTGCCTATGTTAGATTAGTAAACTGCCATGCTATTTTAAATTTGGGGGAACATATTAACATCGTATTTTAGCCTCTTGTAAAAAGTCTAAAATCTAAAACCTCAGATTTCAAGATTCTACAATTTATCATTATCTTTGAAACCCTGAACCATGAACATTATCTCTTATTTTTGTGCTAGTAAAAGAGGAAAGAGGTTTCATAACTGAATTAGTTGCCTAAGGCCCCCTCCCCGCTTTTTTTTTTCTTTCCTACAACAGGCTCTCAATATATAGCCAAGTCTAGCCTTGAACCTGCAATCCTCAGCTAGTATTAGGAAGAAAAAAAAAAAAGCATGTGCCACCATAACTGCTTTTGCTTACTCATTTTTAATTGTATGAACTATATATAACGTAATTTAAAAGCAGAATGCTAAGTAAGACGGAAGTTGTAAAACAACAAATTTGTTTCTAAGCTAAGAATATGAAACAGTTGCTCTCATGTAGAAGGAAAGTTCCACTGTCTGTAGTTAGCATCAATTCATTCAGTTTAGGTCAGTATCGTTCAGTGAATTGTCCTTAAGTATTTCCTCTTTAGTTAAAAGTCTATTGAACACTCCCATGTAATAAGCATTGTGCTTTAGGAACTGCAGCAACTGCTGGTCTCTGTTCTAGAGAGTTCACAGTAAGTGGGAAGACTGACAAGTTACACGCAATACAGTAAGAAAGCGTGGCAAGTGAAATTAAGGGATCAAAGAGAGGGAAGGTTCGTGTCTAGAGGAGCTTTCTTTGCCAACTAACTGGGGGTATGTTGGGGACAGAGAGTAAACTGCAGTCTGAATACCTACAATAATGGGAAAGTAGGTAGGAGTCGAGATTATGATCAAATGTTGCAGAATTTGTTAGGTTGGAGGAATACGCTCAAGAGATCTACTGTACAAAAGAGTGACTATAGTTAATCTTCTATGGTATACCTGGAACAGTAAAATTCAAGGTTCTCACCACAAAAAAATATGCATGTGAGGAAATGTTAATTAGCTCAGTTTACCCATTCTATAAATATATATGTATTTGAAAACATGCTATCCATCACAAATATATGCCGTTTTCCTCAGTTAAATTTAAGATTAAAAACAGACAACGCACGAGTCACTTTCCACCATGTCTTACAGTACCTGAGAAAGAGGAAACGGCTTGTTGGGGCTCACAGTTTCAGGCCATGGCTAACTATTGCCCTGGCTTGTGGGTCCATACTCATGGATTCGGGAACATGTAGTGGAACAAAGCAGCTCACATCATGTAGGACAGGAGGCAGAGCAAGAGAAAGAGAGGACGAGGGCTCTGGAAACAAGGGATGCCCTTCAAAGGCGCATGCCCAGGGACGGACTTCTTCCAGGCCCCACCTCCTATTTAGCCTGCTAGCCTAATGTGTTCAACTGTGCTGTCTGTTCGATGCATTAAGCCGTTGACGAGGTCCACCTCTTTTCAGGGTTGGGATGTGAGAGGGACACTGAGGCAGATTGTTCTTTTGGGGTAAGAGATTTATTAGAAGAGCTATTAACGCTATGGACAGACAGACAACGCCATGGCAGGGTCTCTGAGAAGTCGGGCAGACAGCATAACTGGAGCTCTGAGGAGAGTCCCCCACACACACACGAGGCACAGTGGGAGTCCTTTCTTAGAGGTCTCAGAGGAAGAGGGAGGTTCATAGTACTACTTGCAGTTAGACTGTTTTTTGATTCTCTGGGGGCTGGGAGGGGAGGGATCGTGCATTCCAGGGAGGGAATTAGTGATGGTGAAGAGATAGGGGAAGTGGGGGAGGGCACATTTAGTTAAGGTATACCGGCTTGTCAGTAGCCTTCTGATGTCTGGCAGCCTGAGCATTTAAACTTTCTTGAGGAAGTGGGACTTGAATTAGGACATCTGCTTTTCTCCTGTTATCAGGGCACCTGGGGAGTCTGTTAGGGAGTTGAGGATTCACAGACAGGCTCTAGGTAGGGAGCTTGCCATTTCCTTTACAAGGTGGGTAAGAAAAGAGGCTACTGCAGGTAGGTGTGGCTTGATTAGCTCTTAGTTCTAAACCCAATACCTCCTCTATCCAATCATCCCTTAATTGTGCCCAAGCAGCTAGGGACCAAGACTTTACCATAGGACCCATTGAGGGGGACACATCATATTTAAAACACAACAGACATAAGCCGTTTGTCTAAATTTGAATGACAAGTATACAGAGAATAGAAGTCTGGGTTTATTATAAGAACAAAAATGAGAAATAATCCCAGTATAAGATGTTCAATATTTAGAATATAAGTCATCCGTCACACTTTCTTAGTGGCCCTGTGGCAAGCTGAGGACATTTAGCTAAATAAAGCATGCTCCATGAGAAATTTTATTCCGGAGAGAGGAAGTAGGTAAATTTGGAACTTTGAAATTTTTCTGATGAAGCTATCTATGGTCAAGACTGAGTTTCAAAAAAGCAAGTCAAGTCTGTTCTTAAAAGAGATTTGCAAAATTACATTTTTTTCCTCATCAATTTCCCAATCAAATTTGTTTCATTTGCATGAAAAATATCAGCTACTACTTTAGCTCATGCTAATATGTGAATGTCTATGAATAGGTCTGAGTAATACATGACCCGAGTCTTCTATTCGGAACTCATGTTTGATTAAAATTTAATACCATAACTGTTTCAAACAGTGTTTGTGTCTGGTGTGGTGGTGTGGTCTACACTTCACAGCTGTTTGGGAAGCCAAAGTAAAGGAGATCACTTGAACCCAGAAGTTAACACCTGGGAAAGGCAGAGAGACAAGCAAAACTCCAAACAATGCCCAGCTAGTTGGGGTAAGAGCATTCTTAGTTGGTGTGAGACTCTTGGTCCCATCTCCCCGCAGCAGGAATGTGATAACAGAGTTGGAACAAAAGCAACATGGAAATTAACATGTGAAAGAAGGCAGTTTTCTGGGAAAGACTGAAACCCCTTCCTTAGCCTGACATCTTCTTTGAATAAAGTCTGTGTGAAACAAAGCCCCAAAATACAAGCAGGAGGGAGCAGGGCAACAAAAGACAGCTGGCCAGATGCTTCTTGAACTCTTTCCTCTGCTGCCTAGTCTACTTGGTGCTTGGGGATGCCTTTTGCTTCCTTAGTAAATCTGTTCCACACCTAACTAAAAGGCAGGGCCTTTTCTCAGTCTGCTCCTGGTGGCTACAAAGATTCCACCTAACAGTGCTATGCTTTTCCCTTAAGGGCCAAGAAATTTCTCCTGGAGCTCCCTTTGAGTCAGTTTCTAAATTCTTTTGTTAATGAGACTAAGAATCCCAAAAGGGAACCCCAGTTTCCCTGGTAATAACCAAAACAAAGCCCAGTATTTGTCCATGCTTTGTCGTTGTTTCCAGTCTTAGCTACTTGGTTAAGGTTAGGTACTGGTGCATTTGGATCTTCATCTGGGGTTGATATTTTCTCCTCCATTTCTGTGTTTGTTTGGTTTTAATTATTTTATGACATTTTATGACTGATCATTAAGATCTTCAAGAGGAACTGG